CCTTAAAACAACCACCAACCCCCCAAAGGCCGAGGATGCGGAGGACATTGACATCCTGGACGACGTGCTGCTGCTCAGCGACGAACGCCAGGGCGCAGCGCTGACCTCGGCCGGCGCGGCGCGCGAGCTGGGGGACGGCGGCGGCGCCGGCAGCGACGGCGAGGGCGACGGCGCGGCGGAGGGGCTGGACCAGTTCTTGGTGGGCGTGCTGCCGGGCGGCGGCGGGGGCGGCGGCGCGGAGGCGGAGGGTTTCGCGGAGGAGATGCTGGGGGAAGACCTCGGGGACGATGACGTGGCCTGAAATCTCTGTTGAAATCTCGGAAGGCGCGCGGGCACACCCCCAGATCTGTGGTCCGAGGTTCGGCTGGGCGCGCGGGGCGCGCAGCCCCCCGCTCTGCTCGGCGGGCACGGGCACGGCGTCCGGCGTCAGGCCCCGGGCCCCACTCAGTTGCGCCATGCCTCCTGCCGGTGTGGCAACCGCCCCGCAACTTTTTTCGGTACGGGGTGTTGCGAGCACCGCAGCCCCTTTTTTAATACCCGTGCTTTTGCGTGGCTGCTCAACTGCCCGAGTAGGGAAGAAAACCGGGTAACTAAGCTTACAAACCCTAATCTGCACCGCGCGCCAGCCCTCTGCACTATCAGCGTGCGCCTCTGTAAGCCAACAGCCCTCGGCCCCCGCCTCGGAACCTCACAGCTCCGCCCCGCCGCCGCCGCCGCCTGCCAGCTTTGAAGACAGCGACCTGATCAGCCGCCCCGCCGCGCCCGCCGCGCCGGCCACCGCCTCGCCCGCCTTCGCCGCCGCCCCCCTCGCGGCCGCCGCCGCCGCCGTGGCCCCCTCCTGCAGCCTCCCTGCCAGCCCCTCCACCCCGCCGCCGCCGCCCTTTCCGCCGCCACTGAGCGCCTCCTCTAGCCTGCTCCCCTCCCCAAACTCCCCCGCCGCCGCCCGCCCCTGCAGCTGCTCCATCTGCCGCTTGATCTCGTCGCGGCTGTACATCTGCCCGCCCATGCCCGACGCCGCCAGCGATGACATCACCTTCTCCCGCTGCGCCTCGTCAGCGCTCAGCTCCTCGAATTCAGGGCCGGCGGCGCGGTCCTGTCGAAATGATGCGGCGGTTTTATTTCCGTCGGCGGTGAGCCACAGATAGGGGTGGATTCCGTTGGCTTGGCACCAAAGCGTTTTGCCACCCCGCCGGCTGGCGGATCAGCAAAACATGCCATGAGGGTGTGTGGTGTCGAGCGGCACAGGGGCTACGTTGCCAGGCAGGGATGGTCATGCGCGTGAACAGCGGGAGCGTGTGGGCGGCACGGTTGGCTGGCGCACCCGCGGGGCTGCCCTGAGGAGCCTAGCCCCACGGCAGGGGCCCACAAGGCCCCCTTTTGGGGCCGCCTGGCCGCCCCTGGCGGCCCCTGGCATCAGGGGTCTGGTGTTTTTGACCCCGAGGGCAGGGCTGGCGCGTTGGCCCCCTTCCGGGGCTCTGATTGTACGGCCGAGGTCGCGGCCCCCTGACGCAGGGCGGCGGAGCCGCGGACGCCCGCACCTCCGGCACGGGCGGCGGCTTCTTGCTGCAGGCGCCGCTCATGTCGTAGCAGGCCAGCTGGGTCAGCTGCGTGCGCGACTTGCCTGCGCGTGCGGGCCCGGCGTCGGCGAGCGGGTGACGGCGAATCAGTGGTGTGCTCGGACGGGCAAAGATGCGCGCTTACTGGGCTGGGGTGGAGGCATGGACTGCCCAGGAACCTCCAGCCCAGGCTGCCTTTGTGGAGGTCCCACCACCGCCCCCAAGGCGCCTCTGCTTGCCAATCCTCATCCCCTGCCTCTCCTCGCATCTCTGTCCTCCCGGAGCGCGCTCGTGTCCTCCCGTTGACCCTCCCTGGCCCCCTTCGGGGCCTATCCCATATGCATTTAAGGCCCATGTGACACTACGAGCTCCGCCCATAAAAAATCTCGACGTGCCCGCCCAAAAGCGAATGAAGCGATCCAACCCATCCCTGCTTGCAGCCTAGCCCAGCCCCTGTGAAATGGTTCAGGGTCCAGGACTATGCCCCTAGGGTGAACCCTGAACCCTGATTCTGAAACCCTGGCTCTCACCCTTGTAGAGGGCCTCTGACAGGTCTGACAGGTCCAGGGCCTCGCTCACGTCAACACAGGCCCGCGCCACAGTGGACGTCTCACTGGTGTGCCTGCCCACCTGCAGGCGCAAAGCAAAAGATCATTTACGGGAGGAGAGGGGAGGGGAGGGCGGGTGTGTGCTGCGAAGCTGGTAGCCGCCGCGCGGAGACTTGGCCACGACCAGCGTCCCGGACCGCGGCGTCGGCGCCGGCACGGGTTGCTGGGCTGCCGCCGGACCAGCACCCTACTTTTGTACGCGGCCGTGCGCACACACAGCAACCCGTCCGCCCCTGCCCCCAAACACCCGAGCAAACAAAGGACAGGAGCACGAAAGTTCTATATGCCTGTGCCCGTGTTGCAAGACACACGTCACAGCAGGCACGACACCACTTGCCCCTTACATGCACGCACGGATGCAAGCGCGCACACGCACGCAAGCACACTCATCACTGAACACACACACACACACACACACACACACACACACTTACACACACACTCATGCACTTGTGCACCTTGCCCATGTCCTTGAGCTCTATCGTATCTCCCTCCTCCACCATGTCGATCTGCCTGATCCACTCCCCCTCGGGACCCTTCACATTGCACAGCCCCTCGAGCTTGTCGATGACGTCACCCTCCTCCAGCTGCCACCCGGTTCAAACCGCGGGGTCGGGCGCAGGCGGGGAGGGGGGGATCGAGCGCGAGGGCGGTCAGAGGGTACCCAGGAAGGGGAGGAAGGTTGGACGCTTCGACATCAGCGCGTCGTGGGGGCGAGGCGGGCGGCCGCCGCCAGTTGGGGCCGGCGCGCTGGGCTGGGTTGCGCTTCAGGGGGCAGAGCGGCCCCTCAGCTGCAGTTGGTGCGGACCGAGGCGCACACCTTCTTGCCCGGCTTGAGCTCCTCGCGCAGCTTCCGCACGGTGCGCATCGACTGCCTCACAAAGAGCTGGCACACGCTGCACTTTATGAACTGGATGTCAGAGCGCACCGCGGGCGGCAGGTCCTTCTGCCCGCCTGCGCCCGGCATGTCGAATTGCGCCCGGCAGCTCGCCGCCACCACTAGCAGCAGGCAGGCGACGAGGCCCACGCGTGGGGCAGAAGCTTCATATCGCATGGCGCCCTACTCCTTGACCTCGTTACACGGTGTCCCGGCTGGGATCTCGAAGGTATGATCTCGAAGCTTTGCGATGATCGAGACCGTGTAAGTGAACAAATTGCATGGCAGAACCATATTGAGATGTCGGTCATGCGTTTCAAGCTGGCCAAGTGGCTGGACTTGACAAGGGGTGAAGGCTTGCTAGCCATGGCCTTTTTCGGTGGGCCCATGGCAGTACATGCCTGGCGCTTTACTGCCATACCCTGTGCAGCCTGATGCAAACAGTCCCTGGCTCAGCAGCCCTGGCTATTGCAGCTGACTCTGCAGCACAAACAGCTGAGCCACCCTGGGCGGAGGACCGAGTACTGTCAGTGGCACAGCGAATACTGCGTTACAAACGCAGGGGCATACATTTGAAAGGGCCACCGCCCGGACCGCACTCTCGCCCTGTACGTACGCCTGCGACATGCGCGCCGTTTCGGCGCGGGTGCCGCGGGCTGCTGGGCGACGGCGCGTCTGCTTGGGGCGCCCGGCCGCCCCGCTCCCAGCTGTGCGCAGTGGGGCGCTGGACCGTGCCGCTGCCTGCTGCGCCTGCGGGCTGGGATTGCCTCTGCAGCTGTGCACCCGCCGTCCTCATCACAGGTGCGAGGAAATCTGAGGAGAACGATTCAAGGAAAAAAAGCAGCGGGGGGAGGTACCGTGTGATGGGGGTTTGGACAAAAAGGCTTGGCATCGGCCACTTCCCCTTTACACGCATGCGCATGAAAACGTAGCCTCGTGATCGAGGCCCCCTGCATGCGCGCGCTGCTGCCGCATGCGCGGGTCGGCTCTACCCACCACAACTCGTCCTTCTTCCCTGCGACCAGCTCCTGCGCCTTGGCAATGTACTCCTGTGTTGCACGTGCGCGGGAGGGAGGTGAAAGGTGACGGGGACGGAAGGGCGAGGGGGACCGCCCGCGCACGGAGAGCTGTTTTTCGGCCCAAGGCGCCGCCGTCGCGCATAATGCCCCCGGCACTCCTGCCACGTGGGTGCAGCCGGCGTCTGCACGGGGTTTGCCCGACGAGCAGTGGCGCGTGCTGCCCCCCAGGCCGTTAGGTCGATGACGTCATCCAGGCAATGCCCCACCCAAGCCTCACGCCTGTAATGGCAGCACGGCGGGTGCGACTGGGAGCCTGCTCAGCCCAAGGGCGGCTCGACCCGCGCTTGTGTGAGGATTCAGGGGGCCCAGCTGCGCGTCGGGGCCCGGTGTGCAACAGCAGGGCGCGGCACAGTGCCGCCGCACCTTGGCAACGTCCTGGGCCTGGCCCGCGTACTTGTTGGCCAGCTCCTGGGCAGTGTTGAAATACTCCAGTGCCAGGGCCTTGTAATGGGCCAGGGGGTCGGCCTCGGAGGGAGCCACGGCGGGCTTGGACGGCGTGGCGACGTCCTCGGAGGCGTCGACAAACACCTGCTCCTCCGAGACCGCACCTTCCTCTGACTGCGAGCGCACCAAAGGGGCACACACTACCAGGAGCGCCAGCAGGGCAAGCGCAATCCATGCCCTGTAGATCGCACCATGAGGCGGGGGTATCGGATGGGCACCATGCAGAATCGCGGGGCAAACGGGGCGAGTGTCATTGAAGTTACAGGGCATTTCGGGCGGTAAGACGTGGCCCCAGCGAAGCACAATGAAAGCTCGTTGTGATCCGTTGCCGAAGCCCACCGGGAAGCAGCCATGGTTCTGAGATGTAGCAGGTCGTTTTCCAACCGCTTCGTCGTTCCTCAAGACGGGCTGGCCAGGATGAGCACAAGCAAGGGCAGGCAAACAAGATCGGACAGAGAAAGCAGAGCAAGGAGATGTGAGCCCTGCAAATGTGCAAGGTGAATGTGAGTGTGGGTGAACGGCGCCATGTGGCGATCAGAGACAGCATGTCTCTCCCGTTGGTCCCCCATGTCGTCACTCGGAGTGGGGTGAGCGAGTGAGCGCGCAATCGAACATGTGCAGGCGCCCTGTCGCGGCTTGTGATGAAGCTGTGGTTTATATTGCCATATCAGCCCGCGCACAAACGATACTAGCAACTCAGATCACTCAATACACTGTCTGCTTACTCGCTGTGCGCTAACTTATCCACATATTGGAGAAACAGTCGATACCAATTTGTCCTTGTGCGGCGAGACGGCGGTTGTGCACGCATCGCCCGTTCGAAGTGCTGCGTCGCCGACGCAAGGCCAGAGCGCCGCTGCCGCTGTTGCTCGCTGCTTACGGCCGGGCAGAAGCCAAAATGACGGAAGTGAGCATTTGAAAATCTCAACGGCCTGTGCGTGTGCATCGTCCATGCCTAGGATGTCGCGAGGCAGCTGTCCGCGCGCGCGCACATGCCCGCCTTACCCGCTGGGCTCCCTTGCCCGCGCCCCACCGCACGCCCGCCCCGCAGAAATGGAAGTCGGCGCAGACCATGCACTACTGCGAGCTGTGCAGGTGCTGGCTGAACGACAGCAAGCAGTCGATGCTCAACCACGAGCGCGGCGCCAAGCACCAAGAAAACCTGGCACGCAGTGAGTATGCACCCCCGCGGCGGGGGCGGGGATCAGAGCAAGCCAAGCGGGGTGCCCCCAGAAAGCGCCGCGGGCAGGCGCCGCTACTGCAGCCGGGGCTCGAGGGCGGCTGCTCCCCCGACAGCACAGATGCGCAGCGCCCACCCCTCGCTGGGGCAAGCACGGGGCGCGCACGAACCCACCCCCCCGCCCGCGTGCGCGGTTGCATCCGGAACCGACCTGACCGCCCCCATCTTGACGTGCGACCGCCTCGTCCTCCGCAGAGCTGCGGGAGATGGCCAAGAAGGCCGACGCGGACAAGCTGGCGGCCAAGCAGCTCGAGGCGGCGATGGGCGGCATCGAGGCAGCGGCCGCGGCCGCGTACGCAAAGGACGCCGCGGCGGCCGAGGAGGCGGAGCGGCGCGCGCGCGCCGCGGCGGCGGCGGCGGCGGGGTCGTGGGAGTGGGACCAGGGGTCTAATTATTACTATAACGAACAACACCGGTGGTACTACGACCCCAAGACTAAATGGTACTACGGCGGAGAGCCGGTGGCGTGGGCGCAGGACCCGCCCACGGCGTCGCTGCCGGCCGCGGCGCGCTTTGGCCGCGCGCCGCACGTCGGCGGCCCGGAGCCGCCGTTTGACCCGGCGCGGGCCAAGGCCGCGGCGGCGGGCGGCAGCAGCAGCGGAGCCGGCGGCGGCGCGGGAGTGGCGTTCACAACGGTGAAGAAGGTCGTGGCGCTGCCGCAGCACCCGCAGGCGCTGATAGGCGGGCACCAGATGCACCACGTCGGCGGCAAGATTGGGGGCGCCAAGGGCGTGGGCGGCGGCAGCGGAGAGGGCGGCGACGAGGACGGCAGCGGCAAGGTGCGCGCGCGGCTGGCGGAGCTGTTTACATGCCGCATGGTGTGTGGGGGGGGGGGGGGCGAGCATTGCTATGGTTCCGCCACAAAAACTCAACATGACCATCAATGCACCACTGACCGCCCGTCGCCCCCTTGTCACTGCCGTGATGTGCGTCAACGCCCGCAGCGCAAGCGAGACGGCGCGGCCGTGGCGGCTGCTGGCGCTGCAAAGGGCGGTGCAGCGGGCGGCAAGCCGGCAGACCCCGCGGAGGCCGCCGCGCTCGCGCGGCGCGAGGCGGCGCGGCAGCGGGTGCAGCAGCGAACGCAGCAGTCGTTCGGCCTGTCATGATTGTAGTTGACGCCATTTTCTGTAACTTGCAAGCTGCCAGTGCAACACGCCGGGGGACAGATGTTCTTCCTCAAATTACAGGTGACAGAGGTGATGTGCGATGCTGCCAAGCACAAGAAATCACGAATGCGAACACGCGGACTGCAGCGTAGCAGAGTAGAATGGGCCCCAACCACACAGCAAAGCGGGGCGGCACAACGCACATGTTCCACCAAGCATTCAGTGGGGGAAGCCCATCAGGCCTCCCATTGAGGCCTCTGCCGCGCCACGCCCCAGATCGAGCCAAATGCGGCCTACTCCCAAGACGGCGGCGCCGCCTCAAACGCGGCTCAGTCCCTGGGCGGGCTCCTGTCGCCGCCCCGCGCCGGGGGCGGGCTCCTCTCCCGCTCGCGGCCGTGGTCAGCCCTGGGGCTCCTCTCGCGCTCGGCGGCGCGCGCCGGGGGAGGGGAGCGGTCGCGGCGCGGGGGCGAGCGCTCGGCCCTGTCGCGCGACAGGCTGCGGCGCCCGCGCGGGCTGGGCGAGCGGCGGCGAGGGACGGGGCTGGGGGAGCGGCGGCGCGGGACGGGGCTGCGGCTGCGGCCACGGTAGCCACCGCCGCCGCCACCGCCGCGGTCGCCGCCACCCCCGCCTCCGCCCCTGTAGCTGCGGCAGTCGCGGGCGATGTGCCCCAGCTCCCCGCACTCGTAGCACCTAGAGGAAAACAGTGACGGGGATGCTCAGCCAGGGTAGCATGAGGCGGGGCAAGCCTGACGTGCAATCTTTGCAAGCGGCTCTTTGCGAGTGGTGCTACAAGCAGACAGCAGCATCGCATGCCAAGAGAGGCAGTTTACACCATCTGAATGAGGGTAGGCACATTCAAACAGACATGCAGAGCGCACGCATGGCCCCACCTGATCTCGCCGCGGCCGCCGCCGCCGCCGAAGCCCCCCCTCCCGCCACCAAAGCCGCCCCTACCACCACCGCCGCCGCCGCCGCCTGCGCCGCGGGAGAACTCGACCCTCCAGCCCTGGTGCCCTGCAGATTTAAAACAGAGCCGGCGGCCGGAGTCGGTGGTGGCGAGAACGCAGGGGGCACGCGGGGGCGCCGTTGCTCTCTCGGAGTTCTGGCTGGCTTTCGGGGTCCAGGCCGGCTTGGAGCGTGGCGGAAAACGGCCGAGCCGTGTGGGAGGCAGAGTTGTGACGCGACCTCGAGACGTGTGGCGGCTTTCAGGAGGCGGGAGGCGATGAGCTTTGGCCAGGCGAAAACCGGGGCCACAGACGAGGAGCGAAGTGACGATGCGTGGAGGCACTTTGTGGGCGGTCGGCCAAACGGCTGCTGGCGACTGGAACGTTGGTCCCCGTTCGGTGTCCGCCCACAATGAGGAGTGCGCTGGCGGCTGCCACTCCCCTCCCGCTCGCTTGGCTGTAGCGCCGACTTTTCAGGGGCCGAGACGTGACGGGCAGACGGCGAGGCGCTCGGCTGGCGGGCGGACTGGCGGCGCCCCCACGGCGCGGAGCGGCGCGGCTTGGCGTGGCGAGGCGAGGCGCCGCGGTCGTGGGGCGATCAACACGCGTGGAGGAGAAGGCGAACGTTCCCGGCAGGAGGCGGAGGGGCGACGCATGGCGGGGCGTGGCGGGGCAGGGGCGAAGAGGAGGGGATGTCGGGCCCCATCACACACCGTCGAGGTTCTTCACGGCGTCTTCGGCGTCACGGCTATCCTCAAACTCGACGAAAGCTGTTGAAGAAGGATTGGAGGGGCGCATGGGGGCCGGCAGGATGGGTATTTAAAGGGGGGGGTTGCTCGCTTAGCAGGGCATGCTACACATGGGGCTAAGGTGCAGCATGCGCCATGCATGGGGGTGAAGCAGCATGCACATGCGAGCAGGGGGAGGGGGCCGGAGCGGTGCATGGCAAGAGCGCAGGTGTGTGGCGGCGGCGCGCTCACCAAAGCCCGGGGGCTTCCTGGCGACCCAGACGTTGCGGAGGCGGCCATAGCGGGCAAACTGCGAGAAGGGGAGCGCACGACAGTTCGTCAGCGGTGCCTCGCGAGTCCTGGCGGCGCAGGATACAGCATTTGCGGGGCCGCAGCGGCCACATCAAACGGGCATACAGGGCTCCATGCGCTCACCGAATCCTCAAGCTCGCGCTCGCTGATGTCAGGGGCCAGCTGGCCGATGTAGATGCGCTGGGCCATGGTTGCTGGGAGCGCAAGAGGCCATGGGGAGAGGCGGCGCATGTCAAGAAGTGGTGCGTAGAGGGGAGCTCGAGGTCAAGTGGTGCATATCCAGGCCTCTGATGGGGTCCGCACGGCTCAGAGCGCGGCCTGCCGCTGCCCTCAACAAGGCCTTCCCGCGCGGTTGGATGGGGGCCCTCCGGCGACGCCTGCCCCTACATGCTCACCAAAAGTAGATAGATGAGACACAGGGCCGAAGCCTGGCCTCTTGGTGGGCTCAAAAAGACCCCGGGGTGATCTGTCGCCTTGGTCGGCTGGCGGCCTGAGCTGGTGTGTGAACCGCAGCTGATCAGTGTACAGAAGTTGATATGAAACAAGCAACTGAGGGGGTCGAGGAGAAAGTGGCAGAAGCAGCTGGCAACGTGATGCCGCAGCTGCTCATTCTCGGTTGGCTGCTACCTGGCTGCTACCAGTAAGCTTCTCTGCCCACCTCTCCTAGCCCCAGCCCAGCTCGCGCCCACCTTTCCCACAGGCAAGGGCCACAAAACAGGCGTGAGTGCTCTTACCTGCGTGCTGGCTGCGACGCCTGCGCCCTGCAGCGAACAAAGCAGGGGCGCAGCATGTGGCCTTCTGTAGCCCCAGCCGCTGCGCATCCCCGCAATGGTTGGCTCAAAGGCAAGTGTTCCGTGCGTTTTGTACGTTGTTACCTTGTCCTATACATGTGGAGCTAAGAATACGGACTCGACTGCCGCGGGAGGATCACCTACGACCCCAGCACCAGCGCCAGCGCTCTCGGCCGCTCTACTTGTCCGCTCGCTCAATAGCACGCACCCACGCCTGGAAACCTGGGCGCGCAACAAAAAGGACACAACACAGATCCAGAAACGCCCAATTTCGGGGGGTGGGCTGCAACAAACACGATGGCTGCAATCCACACGGGGACATGCGTGGCGCTGTGCGCACGCGCGGCCCACCTCCGCTCACAGGCGCGGGGGCGGCTCGCACTCACGCAATCAGAACTCTGTCCCCTGACCTCCTTCGCGCCAACATACTACCCCGCACCGCCACGCCGCGCTGCCGCGGCCCCCGCCGCCCCCGGTGCCTACGCCAGCGGCCCCGGCCGCCCTGCCGCCACGCCCGCCGCCCGCGGGGCGCCCCGGCCGCGCCTTGCGGCGCGAGGCGCCTCAGGCGGCGGGCTTCCGCACGAGGAAGAAGTACAGGGGTGTGTAGATCCCCTGCTTGCCGCCCGCGACAAGGCCGTCTGCCGCGCGCTCCAGCATGGACGCGACCTCCAGGCTGCCCTTAGGTGCGAAGCCGGTGGCCTCGAGGCCGCGCACGAGGTAGTGGGTGACGAGGCGGCCCGCCTTGGTGGTGCGGAAGTCTGGGGGGGCGGGGGTGGGG